TAAATAGTGCATTGCAACACTAACTGCTAACTGAGATTCGTAGCCCCTCACAAGGGTTTAGGCGCAGAAAGATCTGAAGAACCACGCTTTGTTACAAAAAAAAAAAAAAAAAAAAAAAAAAAAAAAAAAAAAAAAAAAAAAAAAAAGCCACTGGGTTTGCAGTGAAAATTGATTTCCAGGGCTTACTAAGCATCTGTTAGCACAGGACCTCAGTGTTTGATATTGGATCTGAGTTCAATTTTTTGCTTTGTTTATTTTGTGCTGAGCGGCAGCCCTAGGGCTTTGTAAATGCTAGGGACTTACACTGCCACTAGGCTACATCCTCAGCCTGCAATGCAGTTTATTTTGTTTTTATGGTGGTGGTGCTGGGGATTGAATTCAGGGCCTTCATACCACAGTCCTTCATATTTAATTGTGATCACCCAGGCTGTTCTGGAACTGAAGATCATCCTCCCAGAGTGTCTGGGATCACAGACATGAAATTATTTTTTTATTGTGGTAAATCAAGTTTACCTTAAAATTTGGGGGGGGCAGGGGGGGTAGTGCTATGGACTGAAATCAGGGCCTCAAGGTGCTAACCAAAAACTCTACCGTTGCTCTGAAATACCAGCGCCCCCTTACTAATTTTTCAGTATACGGTAGGAATGATCACAGGATTGTGGCCCAGGTCTCTCAGACGTGTATGGCTACGTCTACGTCTACGTCTACAGTTCTGGAGCTGTACCCACTCCAGAACTCCGTGCACCCCTTCCTGGAAACTGCTGCTCTGTAATCTGCACTGGATTACATTAGATACTTCAGAGTCCTAAAGTAATTACTGTTTATGATTGGATTATTTAGCCCTCATAAAACCCTCATGTTTCATCCGTTTTGTAGCATGTGGTGGGATTTTCTTTTTAAAGCTGAGTGGTATCACTTCATTGCTTTGTGTATGTGCCACGTCGTGTTTATCCACTTAACCCTTGATGAACGTGGTTGTTTCTACTTTTTTTTTTCTTTTATGGTACTGGGATTAAATCCAGAAGCATTCTGTCACTGAGCTACATCCCCAGCCACACCCGCTACCAACTTTTTTTAAGAAAGTTTTTAAAATAAATTGTACAGGCTGGCTTTGAACTTGAGATTCTCCTGCCTCTCAGCTTCATGCATAACTTGGATACAGGCATTTGCTACTGCCTTGACTGTTGTGAATCTTGCTTCTAGGAACTCAGACATGGGAAATGTCACTTTGCCATCCTGTTCTCCCAGGGGTATGCCCATCAGAGGGTCTGCTGGATTCGATAGTAATTAAAAAGTGATTTTTGAGGCCTCCTCCATGCTGGTTTCAGTGGTGACTGCACTGCTTTAAATCCCAACAGTTTACAAGGTTCCATTTTCCTCACATCTTCGCCAACACTTGTTCAATTTGTTTATCCTAATGGCCAGCCTAACAGGTATGAAACAGTATCCTATTGTGGTTTCAATTGGAACTTACTTCATTAATGAAGTTCAGCATTTCATACACCTGTTGGCCATTTGGATATCATTGAGAAAATGTCTGTGCAATTATTTTCCATCCCCTTTTCAATTTTGTTTAGAGACAAAAGGGTTTCACTAAATTGTCCAGGCTGGCTTTGAACTTGCAGTCCTCCTGCCTCAGACTTTGGAGCCTTTCTTGGAATGATTTAGGGATGAGCTAGACAAGGTTCTTTGTTTCAGTCCCTGGTACTGCAAACAAAAAACCAAAAGACAAGGTTCTTTGAAACAGCATCTTTTTTTTTTTTTTTCTTGTGGCAGCTCAGCCCACCCCAGGGAGGGAGCTGGTGTGGCATGTGGTGCTGGGGATCAACCGCGGTCCCTGCGCACTTTGCCTACACTTGCCTAAGCAGGTGCTTAAGACCCCTGAGCTGTCTCGCTGGCCCCATAGACAAGGTTCTTTGAGAGAAGCAGGTAAATCCAATGTATTGATTTCAGCTTATACGTTCCTTTTTAAAAACAAAAACAGGTCGTGCTGGATCAAATGTAAGAGAAATCCAGCGTACAACAAATACCAAAATACAGGTAAGTCAGCTATGTTCTTAACCCCTTAAGCATAGTTCATCTAATTGTAGTTTTTGTTCAGCTATTAACCTACTACCGTGAGTTGCCAAGGTTTCCATGCTGCTGAATTCATACTGCTTAGCTATGGTTTTGTTGTGAACCTTAGAGCTTAAAATGCATTAGATAAAACCTCCAATTAAAAATATCTATGGGATGCTCATCATGCCCCCACCTTCCCAGTCTTAGTGAAAGGGTACAGGGCAGGGAGATAGCTCAGTAGAATAAGCACTTCCCTGGCAAGCACAAGGGCCTGAGTTCAATCCCCAGTTCCACCAAAAAAAAAAAAATTATTGAAAGGGTACAGCGTCCTTCAGAGTTCTCAGGCCAGAAATCTGATTATCTCCTGTGATATGCACCTCTTTGTGTACCAGCCTTCTTTGTATCCTGTCCTGCTCAAAGGGAGTCCCATCAGGTGCATTCTCTCCTGCACTGTGGTCAGAGCAGCTTTTCTGAAACACAGGATTGGAGTTTATCTTGCTTTCTCCATAAAATCTTTGCAGGGCTGGGGAGATAGTTCAGAGGCATAAGCACCTGCCTGAAAAGAACAAGGTACGAAGTTCAATCCCTGGGCCTGCCACTGTGCTGGCCCTGGAACCCAGTATGCTAGCACACGCCTGTAATCTTAGCACTCAGGAGGTTGAGACAGGAGGATCGCTGTGAGTTCTAGACTGGCTTGAGGGCTACAAAAGTGAGCACAAGGCCAGCCTAAACTGAGTAGCAAGACCCTGTTTCAAAAAAAAAAATTTTTTTTTTTGGCGGAACCAGGGATTTGAGCCCAGACCTTTGCACTTGCCAGGCAAGTGCTTATTCTACTGAGCCATCTCCCCGGCCCTCAAAAAAAATTTTTTTGTGTAGCGTCTTTTTTCTATGGTCTACAAGACCTGGCCTGTTTTACCTTCTCTGTTCTTTTCTAACCTACTTCCCTCCTGACATTTTCCTGTCCTAGGTGTCTCCTTGTAAGACACCCCTACGGATCTTTCAGGCAAGGTGAAGTTCGTCATCACTCCCTCAGGGAGGCCTGAGGCCTCCTGTTCCCTAGTGAGTGTGGGTGTCCCATCCCTTTCCACTCAGCATCTCCTAACTGCTACTTCATGTCTGCACTTAGACTTGTGTGTGTCTGCAGAACCTGCAGGTGAATCACCAGCCTACTTTGCAAATAAAGAAATAGTTGAGTAAATAAATAAATACTTATTTATTCCATACAGGGTTTTGCTTTGTAGCTCAAACTCTAGTGATCGTCCAGTCTCAGCCTTCCTAATGCTGGGATTATAGGCGGGTGCCACCACACCTGGTTTCAGTGGTCAGCATGGCACACCGGGGATCCCAGATTCCGCGCAGCAGGCGGTACTGGGGATCAAGCTGGAGTCCTTGTACTTGCCAGGCAGGTGTTTCGACCACTGAGCTGTCTCCCCAGCCCCCCAATAAATATTGAAAATGAGATTATCTGAAATTGTGCATGTTTAAAGGTGTTACTTGTAGATCCTTTTCTCAGTGTTCGATGTTAGCTGTGTTGAGAACTTAATGCCGTGACAACGCAGATGCCTGAGTAGAGGGGTCCCGGCCAATTAAACATGTGCATATGTACAGTTCAAACAATTATATTTTTTCTGTTTTTAAGATAGGGTTTAGCTGTATAATTCAGACAGTCCTTACACTCACTGAGTAGCCCGAGGTGGCCTTGAACTTATGGTGATCCTCCTGCCTCAGCTAAGTGCTGTGACTATAGGCATGTGCCACTATGCCCGGCTAAAACAATTTCATCTGCATGTCATGTTCATTAATCCACTCCACGTCCATGATTCTGTAAATTAAATAGCACCATTTTATTGGTGAGAGAGCTCAAGATCCAAAGTAATATCACCATGGGGCTGGTGAGATGGCTCAGTGGTCTGAAGCACCTACTTAGAACAAGCCAAGCTTGGCAAAACACAGGGACAGTGGTTCAATCCCCCAGCACCACATGCCAGCCAGCCACCCCCGCCCCCTGGTGGGCTGAGCTGGCCACACACACACACACACACACACACACACACACACATAAATAAATAAAATTTTTAAAAGTATGTGTTTAAAAAAAAAAAACCAAGTAATATCACCTGTCAGATTAATGCAGATTATGCCCAGCCTTCTTGGCACCAGGGACAAATGGAAGACAGTTTTCCGTGGACTAGTGTCAGAGGATGGTTTTGGGATGATTCGAGCACATTAAATTTATTATGCACTTTGTGATTGTTGCATTGTAATACATAGTGAAATAATTCCTAGCTTGGTGTAGTGCAGAATCAGTGGGAGCCCTGAGCTCGTTCTCCTTCAACCGTCCCATCTGGGGGGATAGGAGACAGCAGTACTCAGGATGTGGTGTTGCTTGGGGCTGGGGAGAAAGCTCAGCAGACCACGCTCCTGCTTTGGCAAGCGCAGGGGACCAGGGTTTGATCCCCACACTCACATGCTGTGCCAACCCCGCCCCCAGGGCCTCTCCGAGCTGGCGAACGAGTCTAGGCCTGGTGGTGCACGCCTGTAATCCCAGTGCTGGGGAGGCTGGAAACAGGAGAAGCACTACAAGTCCAAGCCGTGTAGTGAGCCCCTATGCCAAAGACATAAATGAAAAAATAAAGTGTTGCTTATGTGTAGTCGAATCCGTGATCTCGTTTTGGTTGCTATCACTGTAGAAACCAGTGCTTTTCAAAGATAGAATGTTGGAAATGAAAGCAGGCTTTTCAGTGCTCTTGTGGAAAGCTCAGGAATATTCTACCTTCACTTTAGTCCACGGTGTACAGAGATGTGGAGTTGTCTCAGATTTATGTTTTAGGCCACCGTCGTTTGCAGTCTCTTCTAGAACAAAGTTGATTCACTGGCTCAGGTGGGTTGTAGATCCATTCCTTTCCAGTTTGGGGTCTTCTTTGTTTGAGAAGTAGTGTTCAGGCTCTTCTGAAGCTGAGACAGGGTCTCATGGACCCGCTGGGAGGAAGAAGGTCCTCGGTCAGTCTCTCTGAAAATCTCGGCTGGTGTCCGAACCTCAGCAATCCCAGTGTTCACCCATCATTCCCACAATCCCATTTTGGCTTTGAGTGCACCCAGATGATGCTTGTGCTCCATGTAACTTTAATCTGGTGGCTTGAACACAGTTGTCCTTCTCCTCTGAAGTGACCTCCTGAGTTTGTGGAGCACAGTGAATAGGTTGTACAGATAAGCAAGTTTTGCAGCCTGTTCTGTGTCACTGTAGTGTCCTGCCTGTGGAGCCTGTTTTTGTAAAGAGAAGTCACTGGAGGGGCTCTTGTAACTTGAAAGCCCTGGCCAGTGATCTGCTTTTAGAAAGCCGTCTCACTTTTATGTATGGAAAAGGATATATGTTTCTCATCATTTGTCCTGTTAATAGCCCTTGGTCAGTGTGGTTAATGATTTTAAAATCTGCAAAGCCGAGTTCAGGTAGCATTTTGCAGTTAGCTAGCATTTCTTTCTTTGTTTCTTTTTTTAAATGTACAGGGACTACAGGGTCTCACTACACAGATCAGACTCGTAGTGATCCTCCTGTTTTCAGCCTCCCAAGCACTGGAATCACAGGCACACGCTACCACACCCAGTTTCAGTCACTGGGACACACTGGGGATCAAATCTCGGTCCCTATGCCTGTCTAAGCAGGCACTTTAGTCCACTGAGCTATTTGGCTGGCCCCTCAGCATTTCTTTTCTGGGTTCCTGATACAGTGGATAAACTCCCACTTGGGAATGACCTCTTAGACCAAAATCAAAAGAAACAGAAAGCCTCACAGCAACTGCTCCTCCTGTGCATCTACCAACCTCAAATGACCAGCTCAGTTTTCTTGGTACGCAGCTGCGGTGTTGGCTGGCAACACAAGTGTGTGTGAGGTATCCTCCTGCACAGCCTCTTGAAAAATAAATGGCACAGAGCAATACCTTGTTGCCCATTCACGTCAGCCAACTGAACAGCCTGGATTTTACACCATGGTGGCTTATCACAATCACTATGTACACCACGATTAGTCATCAATCTAATTTTGTTCCAGTCAAAAAGAAATGTGTGTTACCTTCTGAACTGCATCATTTTCTTTTTTTTTTTTTAAATTTATTTATTTATTTGTGTGTGTGTGTGTGTGTGTGTGTGGCCATCTCAGCCCACCAGGGGGCATTCTGGCTGGCATGTGGTGCTGGGGGATTGAACCGCAGTGCCTGTGCTTTTTGCTAAGCTTGTTCTAAGTAGGTGCTTTAGACCACTGAGCCATCTCACCAGCCCCTGCATCATTTTCTAAAGTTCATAACAGATGCCCTTAACAGAAGACAAGACCAGCTCTTCAGTCATAGAGGATTTCTTAGCTTTCACAATGCAGTTAGCCACTAAGAATGATGCTCTCAGGGCAGACCTAGTGGATGAAGTGATCACTTCAATAATTGCTTCTGTTCTTCATGTTCACTGTTTTGTTTTGAAAAACTCCAGAGGCTTGGCTTTTAATGCGGGATGCTTGGTCTCCGTGTGACAGGTGTCATGGCTTCCTTAGGTAGCTGGTCACCATCTGTCATACAAAGAGGCCTGGAGAATTGCAGTCTCCTGTTGCAGTAGCCCGTGATATAAGCAGGACTCTGGATATTTCCAACACAGCTTTCTTTTTGTTGGCAATCTTCTGTCTCATCAGTGGCTCTTTTTCCCTTTTCAAAGAAAGCTCTCCAGTGATGTTTGTTTTTAATAATTTTGGCTAGGGTTAGCTTTTTTTAAGGAAAGGTTTATTTAGTTCAATTTGTAGAAGTTTCAGTCCATAATCAGCTGACCCCAAGGCAGGGTGCCGCGTGGCAGACAGGCAGCCGTTCATGGCAACAGAAGATGGCAAAAGCAGCAGTACAGTAGAGATGGGGCTCTTTCTCTTCATTAGATTGTACGCAGGATAGCATTCACACCCTTATACCAGCATTGGACCACGAATCAGTTACAAATTCTAAGTTCAGCCTCTTCTGAAAAGTGTGCCCCCAGTGACTGTGTGAAGCTTTGGGGGAACATTTAAACATAAACCATAACATCCCACCCTGCCCCCTAAAAAAATGCATGTACATTCCTTCATACAAAAGGCATTTAGTCCATTTAGTTGGCCAACTCCTAATATTTCAGCATTCTTGCAAAGTACAAGTCCTAAGTCCCCTCTGATATTTAAGGCAAACTCTTAGCTGTGAGCCCCTGATCAAATGAAAAGTTAGTCATTTGCAACTTTCAGTGGTACAAGATAGACACTGCCATTCCAAAAGTCATGTATGGGGGTGCTAGGGTTACCTTGTGAGCTTACCCAAGCTGAGACCAGTGTGAAATGCAGGAATGATGGATGGGTGGAATTGGAGAATAAAATAATGGGTGGGCCACAGGCAGACTAAAGTGTTGGATTCTAACTAGCCTGCTACCAGAAGCAGCTGCACATCGAGGTACGTGGACTCACTTGTACTATGAAATGTGCCACCAATGCACCTTGTCACTTTCCACCCTGTGACAGGATTTTCATAAAAGTCTACCTGTAATTGTATCCTGTGCAGTCAGACTTCTTTGCTAATGTTAACCTGTGTTTGCTGCTGCTTCCCAGTGCTAGCATCACTACCATAGCTCCACCTAAAGTCATCAAAAGTTAGATTTTTTTTTTTTTTTAATTTTAGGGAAAGATCTACAGGGTGTTTAGGGTCTCACTACTAGATCAGACTCGTAGTGATTCTCCTGTTTACAGCCTCCCAAGAGCTGGGATTACAGGTGTGCACCACCACACCCGGTCTCAATTGCCGTCTCAGTGCACTCTGGGGGTGGGGCTGGCACGGCAGGCCCAGGAATCTAACCCCTAGCCCCTGTGCTATTTGCAGGGGTTTTAATCCACTGGCTATTTGGCCAGCCCTAGAAGTTACATTCTAATACTGAGCATGCAACTTCTGAGTTCACCCTCCTGTGAGAATTTCCTGCTCCTGCTGATCTGGCAAGGGGCAGAGTGCAGCTGGTAATGCTAGCAGTGAGACCAGGCATAAATCCAGATGATGCTGCATTGACCTGCTGCTCATGGCCTGCCCTGCAGCTCCGCTCCTGACCAGCCATGAGCGGGTTCCAGTCTGTGGCCCTGGGGTTGGAGATCCCTGGATTAATATTAATAAACTAATACTTAGGTTTTCCTCGAACAGGATTTTCTCAGTGTAATCTGTAGATGTCAGTTGTTAAGCTCACGAATTGTCCTGTTCCTCCCTCCAGCGGCCATGAGGTACATCCCACAGTGGATGGAAGTAGCATCACCCTCCAACTAGATAGTAGACGTTGATAGCAGCACTGCATTTGTCTTTACGCTGTTTGAAGTTGTGTGATGGTTCGGCCCTGGTGAAAAGGCTTCATTCTCACCTGTTTTTCCCTTTATATGTAGATACTAAAAGGAAATTCTGAGGCAGAAGTCAAAATTTTTGGCAACAAAGCAATGCAGGCAAAAGCAAAAGCAATGATAGATAGTTTTCTTAAAGAACAAGAGAATTACGCTCCAGAATACAGAGTTGGTAAGTAATTTTGCTCACTACATCTTGCAGAAACCTAAAAATTTCTTTCATTGTTACAAGCCATTGTACCTGGATCTTTTTTTTTTTTTTTTTTTGGTAGAACCAGGGATTGAACTCAGGCCTTGTGCTTACTTATTCTGTGAGCCATCTCCCTGACCCTGAATCCTTGCTTGATGCAAAGCTCTAGATTTCCGTAATCTGATCATTGATTTTGTGAAAGCCCAGATTACTTGCTTTCCTCAGACTAACCTAGTTAGTATCTGTGACTGCTTACTGTAATAGTTAAGTGAAGCTTAGGTTGTAGCCATATGTAAGCAAAAGTGAAATAACCTTCGTACATCGCTTCAGTATTCATGGTAAGATTGGTCCTGAACTTCTTGTTTTTTCACTAAATCTAGGACTGACTTTAAAAACTATTTTTAAAATCTCACGTGTATTCAGAGAAAAATTCTAGATGCAACATGGAACTAAAAAGAACACTTTAGCTCAGATGACAGTGTTGCTTCTTAGGGTTTCTCAGGAGAAATCTCAGTCATTCGGGTTCCATTCTTTTCATCTGTTAACCTAGGGTACCGTCTACCTCAAGACTAATATGCCAGGCAAGGTGACGCCTGCCGGCAATCCCAGCACTTGGGAGGCTGGGGCAGGAGAATCATTGTGAGTTGGAGGCCAGCCTGGGCTATAAAATGAGTTCAAGACTAGTCTCAAAAAAAAAAAAAAGAAAAAAAAAAAAAACCAACCAAGAATAAGTGATATGATAGTATTTTATCATATACTGGATTCTTCATGGTGTTTCCTTTCCTCCAATAAATTTTAAAAAATTAAGTCAAGAAATAACAAAAACCATGACCAGAATGTCAAGATAATGTAGTTTAAACACTCCCTTTGTTTTGTTTTGTTTCATTTTATTTCACTGAGGATTTAACCCAGCGTGTTGTGCAGTAGGCATTGACAACTTCAGATTTTATATTTCAAGAATTATTGTCTGAAAAAATTATTGTCTGATTGTTAATAAACAAGATAGAAAAGATAGCTTTGAGAATTTTACACTGGTAGGATTCATTGAAAAACTAACATGGTACAATTTTTTAAACAGATATTGTTGCATTCCGACCTGTTGAAAGAGATGGAAGCTCAAATCACAGTGTCACAGAAGACCAGCCACTGATCAATTGGGATAAAATTCGAGAAGATGCTTCAAAATGGGAAAAGAGAAAGTGGGCAGGTCAGTACTGCCCTCCGATGTCTGTACACAGTGTGGGTTCTTCTTTTACCTTTTTTTTTTTTTTTTCTTCTTATTTGGTACAGGGTCTCACTGTGCAGCTCAGACTTGTTGTGATCTTTCTGTTTCAGCCTCCCCAGTGCTGGGATTACAGGTGTGCGCCACCACATCAGGTCTTGGTGGCTGGCTCATTGTGTCTGGGTTGGGGCCGGCATGGCATACAGTACTGGGCATCGAACCTGGGTCCTTGCACTTGCCTAGGCAGGTGCTTAGACTGCTGAACTATCTCCGTGGTCCTACCTTCAGTTCTTAATCTCTTATGTCTGCCTTATTTTTAGTAATGAAATCAAAATGAGGGGCCGGGGAGATGGCTGGGTGGAACAAACACCTCCCTGGCAAGTGCAAGGGCCTGAGTTCAATCCCTGGTTCTGCCAAAAAATAAAAAATAAAAATGAAAAATAAAATGCCATTAGTCTATATATTATGATTCTTATAGATCATTATCCTGTGGTTTATTTTCTAAATGGCAAACTAAATATTCAACTTACTTTTCTACTTGTCTTATTTGAGATAACTCACTACAAATTACCAACAAAATAGAAAATCAGGCTCTGAGGTGAAAATGTGAAGAGAATAAAAATCCTAATCATAAGTTAACATTTTTCACAGGGACCAAGGTTCAATCCCTGGTACCATGTACTCACCAGCCTGCCTCCTGGCGCACTAAGCTGGCCACCAAAACCACCAAATGCGTGGCAGTGCGTGGCGCACTCCTGTAACCCCAGCACTGGGGAGGCTGAAAAAGGGAGGATCGCTGTGAGTCTGAGCTATATAGTGTGATCTTGCGCCAAACATACACAAAAATGATGTTAACATTTTTGCTGTGACTGAGCACAAATTGACCTTGACGTGCCCTGTGTATGAACTGCGCCCACAAAGAGAAAAGCATTAAATCCTGAGAAGCAAGCAGTTTTTCATATTTTGCACACAGTTGTCTAGGTTTCCTTTTGGCAGATTCCTACGTGCACGTGCTACACATTGATCGTTTGCGCCCAAGTCCCTCCGCCCCGCCCTCCCCCTTGCACATTTTTGCGTGGGTTTCAAGGAGTGTAACACATTTTGCTCCAATCCGTTCTTCCTATTACCTACCCTCTTTCCCTTCCCCCTCACTCCGTTTTTGTTGTCTAACAGTCGTCTCTTTCTTGTCATCTTTTTTACATTTCTCATAGCAGGGAGAACGTACGATACTCATCTCTGTGTCTGGCTTATTTCATTCAATGTGGTGCACTCCACATCCATCCATTTTCTTGCAAATAGAGTTTTCTTCTTCATGGCTCAGTAATATTCCATTTTGTGTATATAACACTTTTTTTTGGTACCAGGGATCAAACTCAGGACCTTGTACTTGCCAGGCAGACACTTATGCTACTGAGCTATCTCCCCAGCCCTAACCCATCTTTTTAAAAATTTATTTATTTTATATGGGGTTTTGCTACATAATTCAGACTTGTAGTGATCCTCCTGTCTCAGCCTCTCCAGCACTGGGATTACAGGTGTGCACCACCACACCCAGGCCCAGGCCTGCACAGCATGTGGTACCACAGATTGAACTCAGAACCTTGGGCTTGGCAGGCAGGTGCTTAGACTGCTGAGCTATGTCCCCAGCTCAAGGTAGTTCTTTCATGTCTTATAAAGTGGGCTTTACTTTATTTGAAACTTCAATATTGAAGATCGATTTCCTGGGTGACAAATGTGAATGAAAAACAAATTAAAAGGCGACCCCTTAGGCTGGCCTGAGTCTGCATCACAGAGAACATAGACTTGTCTGCATGTTGTCGTGGCTGGCTCAGTTCTGTAGCTACTATAATGTTAGTGGAATGTGAATCCTGCTTGTTAACCAAAGTTTGGGTTGTCATCTCTGCTCCAGATTTACCTCCAATTAAGAAAAACTTCTATGTAGAGTCGGCAGCAACAAGGGCAATGTCACAAGTGCAAGCAGACAACTGGAGGTGGGTAGTTTTATTTCTTTTTTTTTTTTTTAATTTAGAAATTTATTGTTTAATCCACAAACTTCATATAGCTTTAGTTTAAAAAACAAAAACACAAAACAGTGAAACCAAGACACTATTGGCCCTTCTTCTAGCTTCCAAATACAAGAGCTGTGAACATTATATATCCCAATTGGAAAAATAAGAATAATATGAATGGAGCCACGACATTGCAGAAAGTGAAGACTTCATATAACTGAAGGATCCATCAGTCCTTCCTGGGATGACTTAACTGCCTTTCCAAGCAGGGGGAGGAGGGTAGGTAGGGGCTGGTGACGAGGGAGGGAGGAGAGAAAAAAAACCCAGAACAGAGTAGAATCCAGGTCCAGTGTTCTGAATCAACGTGTCACACATCCGTGTAAGCCTAGTGTCCTGGAAAACAAGCTGTCAATTTTCTGTCTCAACCTGGAGCTCAAATCCTAATCCCTTTCAGCAGCAATTCCGCAGGCAGCAGGGAAGATTGTGGCACTGGAACGTCCACTTCTGCTCTGTGGTCCTCCCCCAGGGGTCTGATTCTGGACGAGCTTGCAGACCATACAAGATGGGAAGCAGAACTTAAATGGGTGTGAAGACTCGAATAAGAAGAAGTAAACAAAAAAGAAAAGGGGAGAAAGCCTCCCTGAGAATAGCAAGGGGCATTTAAAGAAATAAGAATGCCAACAATACTTAAACCCCTTTTTTTGGAAAGAGATTTTTTTGGCTTAAAATACTCTAAATGAATTTATGTCAGCTGGCAATGAAAAAATGTCACTAATACACTGCGGACACCTTTTGCAATATAAATCCATGCCCCCCTTTTTTTATAAGGTGAACTTCAACCTAGCAATTATCACAACAAATGTTAATAGTCTAAAGCTCAAACAGATTTTAACAATTTTGAAATTGAACTGAGTACAAACCCCCATCCCCTGTCCAGCCTCAATCGCCCTCCACAAACTGGTCTGCCGCGGTTCTGGGAAGGCTAAGAGCCCCACTCCAAGCCCATCACCAACCCGGAATTCTGATCAGGAAGGAGGTGGGAAGAAGAAGAAGGAGAAGAAACACAAAAAGGGTAAGAAACACAAGAAGCACAAAAAACACAAGAAGGAAAAGGCTGTGGCTGCAACCGCTGCAGCTCCTGCTGCCCCTACAGCTGTCGCTGCCACAACCACATCAGCGCAGGAAGAACTGAGGCAGCCCCGAGCCCAAGAAGGAGACTGAGAGCGAAGTCGAAGAAACCTGGATGACCTAGAGAAGCACCTGCGGGAAAAGGCTCTGCAATCCATGCAGAAGGTTCAAGTGTCCCCACAGTCCTAGTTGGTTAGGATGTAAATTTTATTTGGTTTATTTCTTATTTTTTCTTTTCCTGATACTGGAGATTGAACCAAGGACTTTGCCATGGAGCTATATCCCCGCCCCTCTGGGTTTAATCCTCTCTCTCTCTCTCTCTCTCTCTCTCTCTCTCTCACACACACACACACACACACACTCAGATGTTCATAGTGCTTGCTGTTTTAGACAGCAGTTTTTAAAGACTCCTTTCTCCAATAGTTGAAAATTACAAAAGGAATTGATCTGTTTTCTATATTACAATAATTCCTTAAATTATTTCTTAACTGAAACTGAAGATGCTAATAGCAATTTTTAAAAGAATCTTAAGAAAAAACTATAGAAGAATGGCATGGAACAGAAAAGAGTTGAGGTAGGAATCAACCTTGGGCAAGTAATCAGTCTTAGGCAGAGCTAATCAAGGAGAATAATTCCTACCTCAGATAGTTATAAGTAAGAAAATATAAGCCAGGGTAGTGGTGCATACCTATAATCTCAGCACTCAGGAGGCTGACGCAGGAGAATCGCCCCAGTTTGAGACCAACATGGGCTGCATAGTGACTTCAGGGCCAGTCTGAACTGCATAGTGAGACCCTGTCTTAAAAAACAAAAAGGCATGGGAAATGTAGAAACCGTCAAGTGTTTGCCAGACGTCGTCGTGAGTTATGAAGCATGATGTGTGGATCCGTCTTTAACAGCCTTTTCTGCAGGAGACTTCCATTAGCTCATTCCCATAATCGAAATTGATTTTCCCTTCTCTTCCCTTATGCAGCTGTTCTCAGTGGGGGAAAGATGAGTTCCTTCTCTATTCTGGTAATCACTGTGTCTCACTGTAAATTTCCTATTAGTTGTGGCTAAATTTCCAATAAGAACTGAACTTTTTAACACATAACGCTTCCTTGGGGAAGCAGGCACATTAATCCTTGTATTTCTCGGTCAAGGAAGGAAAATTTTAACATAATGTGCGATGACTTGAAGGCTGGTGAGAAGCGGCCCATCCCCAACCCAACCTGTAAATTCGAGGATGCCTTCCAGTGTTTCCCTGAAGTTATGAGAAGCATTAAGAGGGCAGGTTTTCAGAAGCCAACCCCGATCCAGGTATGCTTTCCTCAAGCCCAGTATCCTGCACCCTCTTCCCCGAAGAAGAAAAAGAGTATGACCATGGCTGCCAGGGCCCGAATGCCCCATCCTGAAGGGCATCCCAGCACCGCCTGCATGGGCCGGTGCCACCGTGCCCAGCACATGCGTGTCAGATGAAGTTAGGAGCCTGGGGAAGAGCGGCAGACAGAGGCAACGAGCAGAGCTGTACTTTCTGTTACGCTGTTGATCACTCTTTTTCAGTCACAAGTATGGCCAATAGTGCTGCAAGGAATAGATCTTATTGGAGTAGCGCAAACTGGGACTGGGAAGACACTGTCCTATTTGATGCCTGGATTTATTCATCTAAACTCTCAACCAGTGTAAGAATTCCTTTGGCTGGCTTTTCTTGTTGTTTTGTTTTGTTTTGTTTTTCTCAGTACTGGGGCTCCAACTCAGGCCTTGTGCCTGCCAGGCAGGTGCTTGTGCTGCTGCGCTGTCTCCCCAGCCTGGCTTTCTTTAATGAGAATTTCATACATAGTCATCAGAAATGTGTTGTGGGGTCAGGAGGTGACGGCTCATCACAGACAGCATGTGAGGGACACTGTGGTGAGGAAAATATAAATTATACAAAATATAAACTGGCAAAACATTTTAGGAAACAGTAGTTAATATCTACCAAAAGCATTAACAGAAACGATAAGATTCAGTTTGTCTAAATTATTTTTTTAATATTTATTTATTTTTATTTATTACATTTATTTATTGTGTATGTGTGTGTGTGGCCTGCTCAGCCCACCAGGGGGCGGGGCTGGCTGGCATGTGGTGCTGGGGGATCGAACCGCGGTCCCTGTGCTTTGCCAAGCTTGTTTCAAGTAGGTGCTTTAGACCACTGAGCCATCTCTCCAGCCCAGTTTGTCTAAATTATCATGTTCAGTGTAGTCCTCCATTTACTGAGAAAATGTTTGACTGGGCCAGCGAGATAGCTCAGCAGACTGAAGTGCCTGCGTAGACACCATGTGCCATGCCAGCCCCGCCCCCGGCACACTAAGCTAGCCACTGCGGCCGGTGTCGTGGTGCATGCCTGTAATCCCAGCGCTGGGGAGGCTGAAAGCTGGAGGATCACCGCAAGTTCGAGCTGTGTAGTGAGACCCTGTACCAACCAAATACATTTAAAAAAAAAAAAGAAAGGAAATGTTTCATTGTTTATATGAATATTAATCGAAAGGCCAATACTTAGGGCTTGGGTTTTTTATGTGTGGTTGCTTTTCTGTGCATTTCGTAGCTTCTTGCTGTTTTTCTTTTATAATCCAACATTTTTAAATCTTTCATACCATCAGCTAATTTTTTAGATGTATGAATAATAGCCAAAATATGCATCCTACCGAGGGAATTTTAAGTATCTCACAAAAGCTACACATACGCTGTGCCCATGACTACCTTTGATGCTCACTACCACAAATACCTCCAGTGGCCCGTGCCTCTGAGGTCGTAACGGAACGTTCATATTTCCTCCTCAAAGAGCCACAGAAAGGAGGCGTGGACCCGGCATGTTAGTCCTCACACCTACTCGGGAGTTGGCGCTTCAGGTGCAAGCTGAGTGTTCTAAGTACTCCTATAAAGGCCTTCGGAGGTAAGTCATTTGGCTCACCAGTTCTATGCCAGTGTTATAAAATGCATGTGCTTATAGAGGTATTAGTCAATATAACATTATATATAAAATTTTTCAGTGCTTGGGATCAAACCCAGGGTCCTAAGCAAGTATTCCACCACTGAATTACATATCCAGCTCCATACATTAATTTTTAACCGATACCTATAATGTAAATTGTGCATACTGGGATACTATATGATCTTTTAGTTCAAGTCCTCTTCATTATTTTCACATTTAAAATCTGAATGAGCTGGGCATGTGGTGGTACACACGTGTAATCCAAGCCCTCAGGAGACAGAGGCAGGGGAGTCGCTGTGAGTTCAAGCCCAGCCTGGGCTACATAGTGAGCACAAGAGCAGGCCGAACCACATAATGAGACCCTGCCTCAATAAATAAGTAAGTAAGTAAACCTGAATGTGTCTGTAGGGCCCAGATGTCCAGCACCCCCGATCCAATCAGCACTTGCCTGATCTAGTAGGTCAAGTAATGACATAATGGTTCTTTTGGGCCACTATAGGATCATGGATGTGGATGGTTCTCAGAAAAGGGCAGATAACAGCTGAAGATACCTGTTAACTCTTTTATCTCATCTTACCTACCCAGTGGGCTATTCTTTGTCTAAACACAAACCTCTGGGTTTTCCTAAGCATCTGCATATATGGTGGTGGAGACAGAAGTGGACAAATACAAGATATCTCCAAAGGCATAGACATCATCATTGCCACTCCGGGAAGGCTGAATGACCTCCAGATGAATAACTTCGTCTGCCTGAGAAGCGTGACCTACCTGGTGTGCACGGAGTAGGGGCTTGGAATGCTGGGAAGAGAAAAATGGAGCGCTGGTTGTTTTCTTAGTATGGCTCTTTCACAGTAAATTGTAGACTAGTACTCTTTCATATTCCCTTTAGCATGTTAATGTAAAGCTTGGGAAATGTAAATAGCTGCAGAGGAATTAAAATCTACTTGAATGTTTTTAGACACTTAAAAATCTTCATTAGATACATCAGAAGCAATTGGAAAGCCAATGTGTATTCTTATAGCTGCAAGTACCTCAGTTATTTTTATCTCTGGAAAAAGCAGGGAAAGGACTGTTATATTCCTGAGGAAAGCGGACATATTAGCTGCCTTTCCTATCTAATTGGCCCCAATCTTCATTGTGAATGCAGGTTTTAGATGAAGCAGACAAGATGCTGGACATGGGATTTGAGCCCCAAATAACGAAGATCTTGTTAGATGTGCGCCCAGACCGACAGACAATTATGACGAGGTACGTGAGCTGCCTGTTGTGTGCGAGCAGAAGGCGCGGGCTGGAGTTCCCTCCGATCTATCTGCAGCGGCTTAGAGCATCACCTAAGTACCTTAAGATTCTTAGGTACGAGGTACCCTGATGTGCCTTGGGTCAGGGACTCGTGCTTCCTCCTTGAGGGTTGTGCTGGGATTTCTGTGGGAACATTCGCATCGGGTGGAAAGCCCTTCCGTTGAATTCTTAGAGGTAAACATTGGGCAACTGAGTACTAGTTTATTGCTCAAGATAACAACTGAAAAAGCAGTGATTGTTACTTGAATGTAGAGTGATCCACAAAGACTAATTTTTCCTGGATTTCTATCCTTCGGCTTCATTAGCAGTAAGAATAGTATTTAATTGGGGAAATTAACTCTTTTCTGACTTTGTTTTCTGTAATATTTTTAATCTGATTTTATTGATACGTTTTAGTATACATAATAATAACATTCATCATAAAGAATTTGTATCTGTACATGGTACAGCTTGGTTTTCTTTCCCCCATTGCCCTACCTTCCCTTTAACTCTCCCCCTATCCATTTACAAAAGTTTTGTTTCCATTTTTCTTTCTTTTCTCATTTTCCCTTCTATCCTTTCCCCCTCTCCCTCCCCTCAGCCCCCTCCCCATTTGAACTGTTTTCTGTAATCTTGCCATGTGAAAAAAAGCTGAAGTTAGCCAGCGTGGTGGGGTCACACCTGCGCTCCCAGCACCTGCGCTCCCAGCACCTGCTTGCCCAGCACCTGCTCTCCCAGCACCTGCGCTCCCAGCACCGGTGCTGAGGTGTATTCAAGGGCAGCTTGGGCTACGTAGTGATTACAGGCCTGCCTGAAAGGTTTCCTGGCAATAATGTTTCATGAGGCAAGAGGGAAGAAGGGATGGAGGGAGTGGAAGGAAAAAAGGAGAAAAGAAAAAGGAGTTTGATTTAATTATAACTGCTGTGAAAGTAGAACAGAATGATAACTTTATTATTTTATATTTGGTTGAAAACAACATTAAAACATTTATATTCTTTGACCAGCACACTGAAATTTATTTGCATTTGGCATAAGCACTTGATTTTGTCTACTGACAACATATGAAAAATGCTAGGTTTGGGGGTTTTTTGTCTTTATGAAGGGTTAGAAAAAACTAGACTAGTATTTGCCTCTGGTTTTCTTTTTTTTTTTTTTTTGCATTTCATATAGGGTCTACAGGATCTCACTACATAGATTAGACACATAGTGATCCTCCTATTTTCAGCCTCCCAAGTGCTGCTATTACAGGCATGCGTGCCACCATGCCCAGTCTCAGTCGCTGTCTCAGCGCCCCCTGGGGGCAGGGCCAGCACGGCATGCCAGGGATCGAACCCAGCTCTTGTGTCTGCCTAAGCAGGCGCTTTAATCCACTGAGCTATCTGGCTGGCCCTTGACTCTGGTTTTTTGAGACAGGATTTTATTGTGTAGTCCAGCCTGGTCTTGAGCTTGCCCTGTGGCCATGGCCGTGGCCCTGGCTGTCCTCTAACTCCTGGTCCTCCTGCCTCACACTCCAGAGTGCTGAGGTCACAGGCATGTATCACCATGTGGGTCCAGCACTAGCTCTTTTTATTACTTTCTCCTCAAAGAGTAGAGCTTAGTAAAGGTGTAAGTCTCCTTAGTCTGCATTGCATTTACTAAATTTCTTAAGTGTTTCTTCTTAGTGTGGTTGAACAACTTGTTAATGAAACTGACCTGCACTGCTTGGGGTATGAGGGATTCTTAATGCTGGCGTGTCTCCTTCTATTTCCAGTGCTACCTGGCCGTGTGCTGTCCGTCGACTTGCACAATCTTATTTGAAAGACCCAATGATTGTGTATGTTGGTACTTTGGATCTAGTTGTAAGCTTGTTCTTTATTACTATTGAAACTTTTATGACATTTAAAGCCCATGCTAAAGGGTTAGGTGTGTAGCTAAGTGGCAGAATGCATGTATAGCATGCACCAGGCCCTTGGTTCAATCCCCAGCACTGCCCCTCAGAACAGAAACCTTCGTAAAGTACAGATCTAATTTTGGCACAGCTGCACTTCCCTCTCAGTGAGATTTGTATTAACATAACTAAAACACCATTGTGGCACATTTAGCATTTTATTTATTTAGTTTTGTATTTTAGGGAAGGGTCTACAGGGTGTTCAGGGTCTCACTACTAGATGAGACTCACAGTGATCCACCTGTTTACAGCCTCCCAAGAGCTGGGATTACAGGCGCATGCCACCATACCTAGTCTCAATTGCTGTCTCAGTGCGCCCCAGGGGCGGGGCTGGCACAGCAATATTTTATGTTTTGTTTGTTTGAGACAGGGTCCACTATGTAGTTGTAGTCCAGGCCAGCCTTAAATTCACTATGTAGCTCGGGCTGGCCTCAAATTTGCAGTGATCCTCCTGCCTCAGCCTCCCAAGGGCTGGGATTGCAGGCGTGCACCACCAGGCCCAGCCACATTAGCCTTTGTAGTAATCCCTGAATGTCATCTAGCCAGGGTTAATATGTTACCAACCTCCTCTTTTTTGGACTTTGCTAGTGTCAGAGCATACACAGAAGTCTACACATGTGTGTATGTGAAAGTCTGATGTTGTCATTTTAGGAATTTACATTTGATTATTGAATTCAAACATTGCCACCCTAACCTACCTATTAAAAATGTTTCTGTTAGCCTCCTACTTAATCACTAATAAGTGAAATTGGACTTTGTTTGATCATTAATAGTCAATCTCTGCTGAGCGTAGTGATGCACCCCTATAACCCTGCACTTGGGAGGCTGAGGCTGGAAGGGTGCTGGGAATTTGAGGCCAGCCAGCGCTACATAGTGAGTTCAAGGACAGCCTGAACTACATGGCAAGACCTGCCCTCCCCCATAAAAAGTAGACACTGCTTGGCTAGGAGTGTGACCCACTGGCAGAGTGCCTACCCAGGAGGTGCAGGCCTAACGGGGCATTTCCTGGGTCCATTATTTTATAAGGGATGTACAGATGGGAATCAAATAATACCTCTTTTCATAAAATAAGGGGTGGGGCTTAGCTCAGCGGTAGAACACATGCCTCGCAAGCTGGAGGTCGTGGGTTCGAGCCTCAGCACCAAAAACAAAAATAGGGGCCAGGGAGATAGCTCAAAAGAATAACCACTTGCACGGCAAGCGCAGGGTCCTGAGTTTAATCCCCAGTACCACAAAAAATAAATAAATAAAAATTTAAAAACGTCAAGTAAAAAAGTTATTAAAAAGACAAGCAAACAAGGCAACGTAAAATGATTATTAGTCACTTAGGAAAGGCAGTAAGAATGCTTGATTTTTTTTTCCCCCAATCATGAAACGCTACTAAAATCTATTTTATCTAAAGAGACAAATAGTTCATTTCATTATGGGTCATGGAATAGTGCTAGTAGGATTTTGAAATTTTGTATTGTCAAAATCCCCGCCGAACTGAGACTTGCATGTCCAGATCTGACCGGCGCGAATTGGCAGGGTGAGGAGCAGACTCCCACGAGGCAGCTTTTCTGAGCTCGGCCGGCCACACCTCGGGGTTATTTTCCTGCAGTGACAGGTAACTGTTTCGGCACACTTTGCTGAACAGTCACGTGTTTCCAACCTAACTTGCGTGAAATACGAGATCAAAGCAAAACACAGGCTGGCCTGTAGATCTCGCGCAGTGACAGCTCATTTCCTGGGCAGGGTCCCTCCCTGTGGGTTGGCAAACGCGTACCGCTCTGGTGGCAGAGCTCTGAACGCACACTGACGGTCACGCCTGTTGGCCCCTCAGGCTGTGAGCACCGTGAAGCAGGACATCATCGTCACCACCGAGGAGGAGAAGCGCGGCCACATCCAGACGTTCCTGGAGAACATGGCCCCGAAGGACAAGGTCATCGTCTTCGTGAGCAGAAAGGCCGTGTGCGTGTTTGCCTTTTTTAAAAAAGCAGGAATAATTAAATCTTTTGCCTTCTAAATCCTTTTAATATTTTTTTTTAGTATATGTCTGTGATATATAAGAATTACATTGATTTGGGGTAGTTCCTACGTACACATACTGCATCAATGTCATTTTTTGCTCCCTAGTCCCCCTCCCTGTCCCTCCCTGTCCCTCTCTCCCTTCCCCAGGTCCCTTCCATGTCCAGTAAGGCTTCCTCTGTGTTTCCTACCACCTGGCCTTTATCTTAGTTTTGTTTTCTTTTTTTTTTTTTTTTTGGCGGAACTGGGGATTGAACTCAGACCCTTGCGCTTGCCAGTGAAGCGCTTACTCCACTGAGCCATCTCTCCGGCCCCCTTAGTTTTGCTTTCTTTTGCTTTTTCTTTTCTTTGATGCCAGGAATTGAACTCAGGGCCTCAGGCTTGCCAAGCAGGCATTGTGCCCCTGTACTCTACCCCCAGCCCTTTAGTTATATTTTATAACTCTCTCTATATGTTATATTTTGCATTTCTCATTTAAAAGAAACCATGTTGCATTTAACCCCCTCCTTCTGAGGTATCTCACTCAGCATTCTCTCCTCAACAGCCATGCATTTTCCTACAAGTGACTTCTTCGTGGTTGCGTAGTACTCCATTGTATGCATATAGCATTTTTGTTCATTCATCTGTGAACAGCCGTACAAGCTGCCCCTGAAACCTAGCTCTTGTGAGTCGTGCTGCTCCAGACCTAGTTTGGCACCCACCACAGTCACATGATGGCATTCCTGCCTCGGGGGGACACCCAGGAGAGGAGTGGCTGGTCAGATGGAGGTGTTATGTTAGGGTTTCGAAGAGTCTCCATGCTGATTTCCATAGTGGTCTTGATGGTTTATTTTCCCACCCACAGAGGAGAAGGGTTCCTTTTCCCCCATAGCCTCACCAGCCTTTTTTGTTTGTTTGTTTTGTGTTTTAGAGAAGGGTCTACGGGGTGTTCAGGGTCTCACTACTAGATCGGACTCCTAGTGATCTGCCTGTCTGCAGCCTCCCAAGAGCTGGGATTACTGGCACGTGCCACCACGCCATCTCAATCCCTGTCTCAGTGTGTCCCAGAGGTGGGGCCTGCATGGCAGGCCCAGGGATTGAACCCCCAGCCCCTGCACCCGCTTGGAGGCACTTTAATGTGCTGAGCTATTTGGCCGGTCCTCTCACTGGCCTTGTTATTATTTGATTTTTTTGTTGCTGGCCATGCTTTCAAGAGTAAGAGAATGAGGAGAGATCTTGCCTTTCTGCCTAATATTCTATTAGAAGAATATTAAAGAACTCAGATGCTTCTTAAACAGACACTTTTATGTGCATTCCTTTAATAGGCAAAGATGTTGTACATGTGTTCACATGCTTTTTGGGCATTTTAACTTCTTTTGAGAAGCGTCTGAGTTCTTAAATTCTAGATAATAATCCTCTGAGGAATAGATGGCAAGATTTTTTCTCAATCTGTAGCTTGTCTCCTTGTTCTGTTGCTTGCTACGTAGAAGCTGCTTAATTTTATATAATCCCATTTGGTTGACTGGTCATTTGGTTGGTTGTTTGGCTGGTTTTGAGGCAGGGTCTTGCTGGGTAGTTTAGGCTGGCCTCGAACTCCCAGTGATCCTCCTGCCTCAGCCTCCCAGACACTAGGATTATAATCCCATTTGTTGATTTCTAGTGTGTAGGTATTTTCTTATATTGACATTATAATTATCAAACCTGTTTGTTTCAAACTCATAGCCTGTCTGTGACATTATTTCAGTTTTTGGTAATAGAAGTAAAGCTAGTGAACCGATGATGGTATTACGATAAGCCTGTAAAATCACTTGTCCTTTGCTTCAGTGCTGATCATTTATCAAGTGACCTGATTCTTCGACAAATATCAGTAGAATCTTTGCATGGCAATAGAGAGCAGAGCGATCGAGAAAAGGCTTTAGAGAACTTTAAAAAAGGTACATTCATGCGGCCCTTGTGTGCTCCCACTGAAGGTCAGTCCAATCCCCGGGCGCGTGGGTGAGTGATAGCACCTTTTCATGGATTCCCTGAGGTCTGGCCTCAACTTACATGTCCCCAAAGTGCATTTGACAGCTCTAAATATGAAGCTGTCTCTAAGAACTAGCCAGCCACGCTGTAATAAGATCAGTATTTCAACCTAGCTATCAACGTATTAATTTGCAGTGGGAGCTGTAGCTCAGTTTACCCAAAAGGCATTTCTTTTTCCGACATGGTTTAGCTGGTTCAGAGACCATTTGCTGAACCAGAGTATCTGCTTGTAATTTGCCAGAAGTTTTTTTTTTTATTATTTCTGTATCACCTTCACTGTACACCATTATTGGTAGGTCACTTTCATTTGGACGCCATTTTCACTACACATTCTAACGGCATGATTATACTTCACTTGAAAAAACAGTAAATAGGTTTTAGTACATGCATGGGCCCAGTTTGTACCAGAGTGGTTTAGCATGTCTGCCTTTCCTCCCCAGGCAAAGTGCGAATACTCATTGCCACTGACTTGGCATCTCGCGGTCTTGATGTCCACGACATTACGCACGTCTATAATTACGATTTTCCACGGAACATTGAAGAATACGTGCACAGAGTGGGGCGCACTGGAAGAGCGGGGTAAGCAGGCGTGGTCCGCCAGAGAGGAGCCCACTCTGGGTCCTCCATACTCCCCTCACAGACTCCTGTCACCCAGAAAATCATTTTTCTTCCTTTGCTGATAATTGTCAGCTCTGCCCTAGAACCTACTTGGCTCTTTTATCTTTGCCCATCTGTCCTGCTCCAGATTCAGCTGGATCCTGTTGCGATTAGCTTCTTGTGCTTGTTTCTGGTATTAGTGGATTCATTTTTTGTTAGTACACATTTGTAGTAGCTAACGCCTCCATTCCCTGGGAGGAGCTGGTACGCATACCCAGCTCTGGGGACCCGCTGGGCTCTGTCGTACTCCAGGGAAATGGTGACAGGAATAAGAAAAGGCAGACAAGAAGACAAGAGCTGGGTCAGGTGGGAGCCCACTTGCCTGATTGGAAAAAGACCCAAAGAACAACAGTAGGGTATTTACTGATACCTTTGCGAAGGAGATTCAAGGTTGCCTAGCAACTAACAGCCAGAAGTGTCCAGGCAGGATGCTGTTCTCAAGACTGAGGTAGCCTGCTTCAGGCCATCTGGCCTTGTGCTTGCTGCCCTCCCACATTTGACTGCTTTTCAGCCTCAGCTGCTCCCGGCACTTAATTTGGTTTTCATCCCCATTTCTCCCCCAAGTCCCTGCTCCACCCATCTCTTGCTCTGGTTCAGTTTTATCAGCATATGCTACCGATTGTCCGCAGTGACGACTTTGTTGTTGCCAGGTTTTCTGAACTGGTCCGGGTGGGACAGGACCCTGGCCGCCTTCTGTCGTAAACCTGGTGCGGCTTCAGATAGCTGCTGAGCACAATGTCAGGCACTGCTCCGCCTCGGGCCGAGTGTTGCCGAGCACTGGTGGCCGCAGAGTGAGCCCACTTGGAGAAGTGCTGTGTCTGCTACAAACGTTGTGTAGACGATTCCCATACCTTGGCAGTGGAGTGTGACCCTGTTTGCTTAGCATTTGCGTTGTATTGGGTAATACAAGTAATTCTCATGATTAAGTCATACAGGATTTATAAGGACCAAGTGTATTACAGATACTGGACAATGGGAAGAAAATGTTCAAATGAGAAGGGGAACAGGGAGGCAGGAAAGAAAACAAGGGACAAAAAAAAAGAAGGAAAAGATGCAAACAGTTTTTGTAAATAAGGAGGGCGTGAAGGGGGGGTGGGGAATGGGAAAAACTGAAGCAAGAGCTGTCACGCGCAGGTGCAGATTCCTAAGATGAATATGATGGTTATGTATATCTAAAATGCACCAATAGCATTTTATAAGTAAACAATACCAGAGGGAGACAGGACGTGGTGGTGGGCGCCTCTAATCCCAGCTCTTGGGAGGCTGTAAACAGGCGGATCACTATGAGTCCAATCTAGTAGTGAGGCCCTGAACACCTTGTAGACCCTTCCCTAAAATTTAAAGTAAATAGATAGATATATAAATAAAGTAAACAATACTGGAGAATATGTGGGGGTGTTTTGGTTTGGTTTGGTTTGGTTTGGTTTGGTTTGGTTTGGTTTGGTTTGGTTTGGTTTGGTTTTGTGGAACCAGGGATTGAACTCAGGCCATTGCACTTGCCAGGAAGTACTTATTCCACTGAGCCATCTCCCTGGCCCGTGTATGTGTTCTATACAAGTGCTGTAGGTGGCAGAATTTGCATGAGTCCCCTGTTTTCCCCCTTATAGGAGGACCGGCATGTCAATTACCCTCATCACAAGAAATGATTGGAGAATTGCCACTGAGCTGATTAATATTCTGAAAAGAGCAAATCAGGTGAGAACACGCAAGTCCTCGGGAGTCAGCGTTCAGTGGGGTTGTGGAGGTCCAGTGCGGACTGCCTATCAAAGCATACATGTAGAGAAATTTTTAAGACAGGTTTTGAGGGCTATAGCATGGGAAGCTGCGGGGCTTTGGGACCACATCACTGGGGCACTACATAGAATGTGGGGGCAGGGGGAAGCAGCGAGCCAGGGGGTACCACCAGGCCCAGCCGTCAGCCACAGCGAGTAGAAAACGGTACCTGCCAGAAGGCATGCGCAGGGCGCCAGCAATGGGACGGAGGGCGGCGTGAGCAGCGTGCGCGTGATGGATGTAGGACTTCATGGGCAGCGACACATTTCATTCCGCTTGGATGATGCAGTGGAAATTGTGCAGATTTTCTGCAATGACTTGGGAGGTATTTTAGTGTATAGTGAAAAAGAAAGACCTCAGACCTCTAATAACACCTTTACTAATTCTAGAGCATTCCAGAGGAGCTGGTCTCAATGGCTGAGAGATACAGAGCAAATAAACTGAAACGAGAAGTGGGAAGAAAAATAGGAAGATTTCCAGGAAAGCCCCAGAAGTTTTAGGAGTATTTTATGTTAAAGAATGGCATTAACCTACTAGAGGTAACGTGACAATTTTCAGATGCCTAATATTTTTCTATTTGTTGGACTGTATTGGGGGTTGGTTGAACCATTCGAGTGCTGAGCTACCTGGTTTTGTTTCTGTTTCTTGTTGTTTTGTTTGGAGACAGGGTCTCCCTAAATTGCCCAAACAGGCCTTGAATTTGGGATCCTCCTGCCTCACCATCAGAGTAGCTGGGATTACAGATGCACACCACCCTGCCCTGCCTTTTAAAATAAGGCTTTCTTAGTTTTCTCCTCAGCATCATCTCTAAGAGCCTGTAACCTAATAAATTATTAGGTGTTACTGTTTCCCCATTACCAAGACTCTATTTAATATATCTGAAAATATATGTGGTGATGCACACTTATAATCCCAGCCCTTGGAGGCTGAAGCAGAGGATTGGACAAGTTCAAGGCCAGCTGGGCCACATAGGAGATACTGTCTGAAAACAACAGCGGCGCTGGGGCGATAGCTCCGTGGTCCAAGCACCTGCCTGGCAAGTACAAGGAGCCGGGTTTGATGCCCGGTATCGCATGCGATGCTGGCCCCAGAACCCGGGCATGCCGTGCTGGCCACCTAATCCGGGCATGGTGGCACATACCTGCAATCCCAGTGCTGGGGAGGCTGAGACAGAAGGATCACTACTAGTCTGAACTGCATAGTGAGACCATATATTTTTTTAAAATGCAGCAAAGAAGTACTAAATTAGAATTACAAATAAGTGTTAAATTTTTCAGAAAGAGCATTGAGAGTCTAATGGAATTGGTGGAGGTAGCACATCCTCGGAGAACTTGGTGATGGATCAGTTATAAATAATGATTTTCATCCTGCAGTTACTCCTTTCCTAGCAGTACAGTCTATAAATATATTCCTGCATTCAAGACTTGCCACAGCAAGGGGCCAACCAGATAGCTCAGCGGATTAAAGCACCTGCCTAGGCCTGCCATGCAGGCCCTGCCCCGGGGCACGCTGGACAGGGATTGAGTCTGGGCGTGGTGGCGTGCCTGTAATCCCAGCTCTTTGGGAGGCTGAACACAGGCAGATCACTATGAGTCTGATCTACATAGTGAGACCCTGTAGACCCTACTAAAAGACTTAGCACAGCAGTCTTTCTCGTAGCAAACACGAGCCAAGATGCTGCCAGGCGAGGTGACGCACAGCTGTCATCCCAGCGCTCGGCAGGCTGAGGCAGAAGCTGTGAGTCTGAGGCCAGCCTGACCTGCTGGCAAGACCCTGTCTCAAAAAACAAACACACAAGCCAGCCAAAATGGCCTCCAAGGGACTTGATGAATAAACTGACACACTGTATGTTGTGCAGCTATTGAAGAATGTGTGAACCATTTTTAAAATGTGTTAAGTGTTAAAAGCAAAAAACTTCCCAGTAAGACAGCGGACTGAGCTAACACAGGAAACCCTTCTTCCACTTGAAACGCAATAGAAATGCTAGCTTAAATGTGTTATTTAAATCTTCTCAATAAGTAAAAAAATAAGTCTTCCAAAGAAGGGCTGGAGATCTAGCTCAGTGACATAAGTGCCTGCCTGGCAAGCAAAAGACCCCAAGTTCAATCCCCAGTACAAAAAAAGGAAAAGCTTCTCAAGAATGTGATGCATGGGGCTGGGGAGATGGCTCAGTGGAATAAGTGCTTCCCTGGCAAGCGCAAGGGCCTGAGTTCAATCCCTGGTTCCACAAAAAAAAAAGGAAAAAAGAACGTGATGCATGAAGCATCTCTGCATTGTTCTGTGCATGTTAAAACTTTTCTCCATCATAAAATATTTGCATAATAATTGTACTTACAGGATTGGTGGCGTGTGCCTGTAGTCCACAGGAGGCTGGAGTAGGAGGATCATCTTGAGTTTGAGGCCAGTCTCCACTACATAGTGATATTCTGCCTCAAAAAAAAAATTATACTTATGGACCCAAGGGCGGAGCCGTGAAGCCCGGGGGCTGGAAAGAATGGGGTGGAGAGGGGCGGATAAACTGGAACGATGCTACGGGTTAAATTCAGACCTGGGCAGCCGCAAGCTGAACCCTGGTTTTAAAAATCAAATAACAGGTGGTCTGCACACATAGGATAACTATGCTACCTATGAGGATAGTATATCATCAAATATATTTGGGCCAAGGATTTGCAGGCATGATAAAATAGGCCAGAAGTGCCTTTGTACTATATTTAAGAGTTAAAAAGGAAAAACTGTAATTGGCTTATAATGAAAAAGAAACTAGGTGTGGTGGCGCATGCCTGTGCTCCCAGCACTTAGGAGGCTGAGGCAGGAAGATCTTCGCAATTTTGAGAGCAGCCTGGGTTACAAAGTGAGCTCAAGGCCAGCCTGAACTGCATAGTGTGACCCTGACTCAAAGGGGGGGGGGTGGAATTAGTAATAGTTAACTGAAATTTTAAAACTCAAAAGAATTAAGACAGTTGAAAAGAATGGTCATAACGTCAGAGGAAATCATGCAATGCATCTCATGTGAAGAGACAGAAAATAAAGCGAAAGTTCAAGTAACATGTTCAGCGTGCTCCTGCGTGGTTTCTAATGTCTTTCCAGAGGCTCTGCACAGCCAACACGAGTTGCATCTGTCGCTCTCCAAAGCAGGTCTGGCTGGCCTGGAACTCTGGGCGTGCACCACCTCCTGCCCTGGCTCTTGACTGGCTGAGATGACAGGCGCACACCACCACCACGCCTGGCTTCTGTCTGGTTTTAATTTTTGCCATTTGAAAATAGTGACAACTGAGAGTAACAAGCGAGATTAATAATAATACTTTTTTAAAAAAAACCTGGGCGGCCTATAACTAGTAGGAAGGTTGAATCAGTGATCAAACTTCCCCACAAAGGAAAAGCCAGCATGGGACAACCCCACAAGTGGATCGTGCCAAATTGTGAAAATGTGCACCCATCCCCTCAGACTGCTCCAAAGCATTGACAAAAGCACACTAGAAGCCCATTCTAGTGAGTCAGCTGTGGCGCTAAAGCCAAAGGCCAAAAAGAAAATTGTGAAGCAACATCTTTTAATAATGGTGCAGAAATGCTCAAAATACTAGCAAACAGCATCACATTAAAAAATGATGTACTGGGCCGGGGAAATGGCTCAATAGAATGAGTGCTTGCCTGGCAAGCGCACGGGCCTGAGTTCAGTCCCCGGTTCCGAAAAAAAAAAAAAAAATGATGTACTATAACCAAGTGAGGTTTACTTCTGGGTCACATGTTTGCTCAACCTACAGAAATCAGTGAAGTGCAGCACACTAATAGATGAAGAAAACACCACATAGTTTTTTAATTGATGCAGGAAAATATTGACAAAGTTTACTGTACATTCCTGATGAAAAGTAGGTCTGTGGCCTGTAATCCCAGCGCTCAGGAGGCTGACACTGGAAGACCACCCAGTAAGCCCTGCTTGAGCTGTGTAGTAAGACCTCATCGCAAAACAAGGAGACAAAGACTAGGTGGAGTACGGCGCCCCTTGTATTCCTAATACTGGGATTCAAGAACAAAGATTGGTGGTTGGACAATCATGCCTCCTGATACCAGTATGTTTCCTAAAGTGACAGTAATCAGAACTCTAGTGCAGGCACAAAGATAGACGTACAGAGTACGGCACAGAAGGCCATCTGGACGTGCGCTCCTGCATGTGCGATGAAGTGACTCTGACAAGAGTCCCACGGCCACTCAGTGGACAGAGACAGTCCCTTCAGCAAATGACGTGGGGACCAGGCAGCCACGCCGCAAAGAGTGAAGTTGGACTCAACATTAGCAGCACTTAACGGAAGAGGGATTAAAGACTGAAATCTAAGATCCAAAACTGTAAAACTCATGAAGAAAACTTTATGTAGGATCTGGCCATACTTTGGTGTGTAACACACAAAAGCAAAAGTAGACAAATGGACCTACATCAAACTTTTTGATATTTTTACATCAACTAACAAAATGAAAAGAGCCTGTGGCATGGAAGAAAACAGTTGCAAGTGATAGCTGATTAGAGGTTAACTTCCAGAAGACACACAGAACTTTGCAACACAACTAAACAAAACAAGGACTGGGGAGATGGCTCAGTGGAATAAGCGCTTCCCTGGCAAGCGCAAGGGCCTGAGTTCAATCCCCAGTTCCACCAAAATAAAGACAAAACAACCTGGTTAAGTGGGGAGCACAGGGGCTGGGGAGATAGCTTGGCAATCTAAGTGCTGCCTGGCAAGCACAAGGTACCATATTGGATCCCAGGTACTACATGCCTGAGGGTGTACCGTGCCAGCCTGGAACCAGGTGTGGTGGTGCACACCTGTAATCCCAGCACCAGGAAGGCTGAGACAGGAAGATCACTGAGTCTGAGCTGTGTAGCAAGATTCTATATCAAATGGGGGGGGGCCCAAAGAATTTAAATACATCTCCAAAGATAATAAAATGCAAATTACACTAACATGAAAAAATGCCCAACATCACCATTAAGGGATGTCAAATAAAAGCCATAGTGAGTGACAGTTCATATTCGTTAAGATGGTTTCATTCCAAAAATGTTGTATCAAGTGTTGACAAGCACGTGGCGATCGGACTCCTGAGCACTTCGGTGGGATTGTGAAAGACAATGGAAGATCATTTGGCCTTAAAAAAAAAAAAAATTCTGTCCGCTGGTACGACATGGATGGACCTTGAGGACATTGTACTAAGGAAATTGACCAGTCACCAAAAAAGGCAAATAGTGTATGAATCCACTTACAAGGTGCTTAAAGTAGTGAAATTCACAGAAACACAGTCGAAAGGTGGTTAACCAGGACTGGAGGGATGAGGGTTATTGGTGATGGGAAACGTTTAGTTCTGTAAGATGCACACTTGCTGCCGAGTGCCTGACAGTGAGTGCAGGCCACGCTACACAGCTGCACACTCACAGGTGGTTAAGATAGAAAATTACATACAAAAAAGGGGGGAAGCAGCCAAATAACTCAGCAGATTAAAGCGCCTGCAAGCAGGG